ATACATGATGGTTGCTTCTGATACTTTGGGAGAGACACTCAGGTGGGGATCATTGTCTTTAAGATTATCGAAGCCTGAGTCATACTCTACAGGATCTAGGCTGCTTAGGGCAAAGGAATGACAGAATGTGACGGAATGGATTTGCTGCCTTATCATGAAGGGATTACATTATCAAAAGCACTTTGCATCTGTCAACATTTCTTAAAAAAACATTCAAGTACTTGCCTGCAACCCACTTAGCTCATCCTCAGAGTGACACCACACAGGCAGGTACTGGGTTTGAGCTGGCGGTGGGTAGGTTTCTAATGGTGGTTTTTCTTTCTCTCTCCTGTCCCCCACCTGCCACTTCTGAGCTGAGCTGGGGATAGATGAGGAAAAAGAGAGAAAGAGAAATTGAAGCTTTTGCAAAATAGCCAGCTTAAACTAAGAAATATAATAGGAGTGCAACGCTGGATTTGTAACTTGCCACAGTCCATGTGGGTGATCCTGCAGGGTGCTGTTGGCCCTCTGGGGTGGCTTGGGGTCCTGGACTTGGGAAGAAAAAGGGCTCTTCCCTCCCTCTGGAAACTTGGCCTAGGGTGGCCTGGATGTTGACTCCCTGTTCTATAGGAGAGGAGAGGCTGAATTCTTGTTGCTTGTATGCACTGCAGGCCTGGAAAAAAGGGATGGTTGAAAGTGCCATAGGTTGAATCACCGGCTTGTAAAGCTCACTGCAGCAGGGAGCCACCAGGTGGTGGCGTGTCCCTGGGGGAGCTGACATTTCTGGAAACTGGGCCAGCTCCCTCTCTCTCACCTTCCTTTCTCCCTACACCAAAGGCACAGTAGAGAGTGAATGGGGTTGGAAGAATGGTCTCCTTGTGTTCTGCACGGAGGCATCCGTGTCCAAGAGCAACCACGAGCTGCAGAGGGGCTGCACACAAGGAACCTGGGAGGTGGGAGAGGAGTACTCCCAGCAGGAAAGCAGGGAGCTTGTCTGACAAGCGTTTGTTAATGGAATTGATCTGATTACTCAGGACTTTACTCAGCCAGGACTGGGGCAGAGAGGGGCTGCACTTGCTTTTCATTCTATTTAATTTCTGTTTTTCAAGAATGAATATCAGGGGAGCAGCTTTGATTAAACAAGTCTTTGAAAAGGAGGAGAGAATGCCAGGTTTTACAGAAAGCCTTCCTGAGCCACTGGCAAGTGGCCATAGGACACAATATTTTTAGTCCATGGATATTGTCTCCTTTCTAAGTACAACAGTGTGAACAAAGTGTGGAGGTTCAGGGGAAAAAAAATTAGTCTATAGCACACACACACACACACACACACACACACACACACAAATCCAAGATTCCAGGAAATCAGCTTCTTCATAGAAATTAAGAAAATTCTCACATCTCTAGCCTGTGATTCTCTACACCATTTCTATCTGTTGCTCTTCCCTCTCTGCTTTTTTTTTTCTCCCATAGAAGTTATTGAGACTGAACTGGAGGAGATTTCATATCCAAATCTACACATCCAAACAGAGGTTTATGGAATGTTTGGCATGATGGCTTCTGTCCATCATGATTTTCTAGGATGAAAACGTTGGTTTCCCATTGGGAAGGGAACAAGAAGAAAGCTCTGATACTTAACACAGAACAAGTATTTTTTGAGCATCTATTATGTGCTAGCCCCCACTGTGTACTGAGAAGTAGCAGTGAATAAAATGAAGCCTTTTCCCTCAGGATCTTACTTTTTTTTTTAAAGACAGTGTCTCACTTGTAGCCCTGGCTGGCCTTGAACTTATGACCTTCCTGTCTGTGCCTCCCAAGTGCTAGGATTACAGGCAAGTGCCACCATGTCCAGCTACTTTTTTTTTTTTTTTTTAAGATGCTGGGGATCAAACACAGAGCTTTGCATAAGCTAGACAAGTGCTTTACACTAACTGCACCTTCTGTGGCAGGACTTCCCATTCTAACCAGACAGTTGTGGTTAATGTTTGCTGTGGGCTTACCTGTGCCAGGCACTATTCTAGCACCTTTCATGACAACACCATGAGCTAGGTCCCATTATTATTATGACCCTTTGCACAAACTCACAGAGCTGCAAAGTAGTGGACCCACAGTTCAAATCTAGGAAATCTGGCTCCAGAATCACCAAACTTAATTTATCATCCCGATTGATTTGTGGCTCTGGTATTCCAGCTGGCTCTGCATCCTCCTTCACACCCGTCATTCCTCGTGGAGCCTATGTCCCACATCTTCTTTGGTACCTCGGTTGACCATAAGTTTTTGGAGGGCAGAGCCTTTCATCGCTGTATCCTAAAGCCCGACACTGCTTGAGGACAACCAGGATGCAAACCAATCTCCTTGAGTTTTTCAAAATACACATGGAAAGACATCTGATTCAAGTGCATATAGCAAATGCCCCCAAGGGTCTCTAAACCCCTGTCCCCATCACATCCAGCTAGGGTCTCTAAATTATAGATGTGTGAGGATTTCCTGCAGGCAAGGATCAGCTCAGAAACACAGTTCTGCTCTGTGTGTGGGCAGCTGCAGGCCCAGGCAATTGCTGAGCAGGCAGGAAACCAAAGCATTGGTGGGGAGCTTGGAATTAAATACCACACGTTGGACTGCTGCCAAGGCGCCTGCACAACTTGAGGGGTTGGGAGAAGGATGCTCTTTGGCAATGCTCAAATAGTTCCTCTTAAAAATGACCCAGATGACAATCCGGAAAGACTTCGTAAAATCAAAACCTAAGGTCAAAATGCTGTGCCATCGTTCACTAACTAGGCTATAAAATAAGATTTAAGAATCTGGAGAAATGCTTAAGATGTGAATGAAAAGAATCAGATGTTACCATTTTGATTAGAACATCACTTTAAGATTTTGGAAGGGCCGGGTGCTGGTGGCTCACACCTATAATCCTAGCTACTCAGGAGGCAGAGATCAGGAGCATTGAGTTTTGAAGCCAGCCCGGGCAAATAGTTTGAGAGACTCTATCTCCAAAATACCCATCATAAAAAGGGCTGGTGGTGTGGCTTAAGGTGAAGGCCCTGAGTTCAAGCCCCAGTAGCACAAAAAAAAAAAAAAAAAAAAGAAGGTATAGTTTGCCCAGAAAAGAATAGAAGGCTTTCTTTCACCTAGCTGGTAAGACTCTACAGGTGACTTACATTTAGTGTCTTTAATATTTTTCTGCCTTTCCCAATTGTTGCATAAAAATATGTTCATTACAACCAGAAAGTGAGTATTAAATAGAAACAGTAAACACTTTTAAAAATGGTTTAAAGACCTTATATTGGCCCCAAAGGAGACCTTTAATCTGTTTTCTGTGCTCTCTCTTCTGGTACCAGGAATTTAGTGACAATTGCATAGCAAATCACTGGGTTAGAAACCTGGGCCGGTATTTCTTTGATGATAAACTTCAGGGGATGAGGCTGTGGTTACAAAACCTCCACTGATTATCTGATCCAGAGATCTAAGGCCTTCAGGATAGATAGTCCCTCATCCTAGCAGGAAATAATGAAACCTTCTAACCTTAAAGCACTTTGGAACACATGGATACAAACATCTAAGTCTTAAGTGTTGTTATGGCCCTTCCTGATTTAAGGCCTATGGCCTCCAGTGATGGAGGACAGTTGATGCTCTCATCCTTAAGTTACAGGCAAGAAAGGGATTTGTTCTGGATCATGTGGTGGAACCAGAACTTGGACCCAGCTCTTCTGATCCAGCCCTTTCCCTGCTTATTCAACCCACCATGGGGGGAAGGAAACAATTTCCATGTGTGCTTGTGGATAGCATAGCACAGGCCTCCTGTGGACTGGCCCTTAGTCCACACGCATAGCCTGTGTGTTTATCAGACCAAGAGGTTCTGGCAGGTGATCCTTGAGAAAGCTGGGGTGAGAATTGAGAGTCAAGGACTCTCAACTACCCAGAGATATGGGAAGGACATTCTCAGTGGCCTTGTAACAGTAAACCCTTGGTATCCATGGGTCTATGGTTCCAAGGAAACCGCTGGTGAGGAAAAGCTGAAATGCTCAGGATGTGTGTAGAGTTCAGAGCTGTACTGGAGACACCTGATTCATTTTCCCTCAGTGCTACCCGGCTTCCATTAAAGATGTACCACCTTTCAAAAAGTCTCAGATTTTCACTGTATCACTTACATTAAGTACATTAACTTACCCTGCTTCCTGGTGCCATTTTCTTTTTTGAGAAGCAAGTTTCCACAAAATTAGGCAAGGAAACGCTCAGCAGATCACACAATGATTTAAACGCAACTGATGATAACGACGGACTGACTGAGAGCTTCTTTGCAATCCACTGAGCTGTGTAATGTGCACACCAGAATTCAAAATCTCTGTTTTTGAAATTACTTTTGTTTTTCATTATTTTAATTTTTTTACTGTGCTTAGTCAAAACCATGTGTAATAAATCTGCAAGTAAGGAGGACTTACTGTACCTGGGATGAGATTTAAAAATAGCTCTTCTGTGTCCCCAACCCAGGATCCAACCTGTCCTCTCAGCCCTGCTGTGTGTTTCATTCTCTGGTCTCTTTGCTGTCCCCTCCATCATTTTTGTACCCCTTTATACTGTGAAACATTTTAAGGGTAGAAACAAGATCTCATTCACTTTGGCACAGTCCTAATATTTAATGTGTGTCAGGTGTGTTTTATTAGTGTTGGTTAAAGCCAGGACATAGAGTCAAAGCCAGAAGTTGTCTGGGATCAGAAGTGAGGCCACAGTGACAGGGACGAGGAGAATGGATGCAGAGGCAGAGCCTTCCTGAGCAAGCGCCCTTCTGCACACTTTCCGTAGCTGAAGCAGGATCCAAATACCAGCATCTCAGGGTGTGGTAATCAGAGGCAGTGGCTCATACCAGCTGATCTGGAGGGTTTTTTGCTCAGCAGCCATTAAGTCTGAAGACTGCCCATTTGGACTTCATCCTGACTCATCAAAGGGTTTCATGGGACCTGAACAAATACATCTGGGGAAAGGTGTGTGTGCTGATTTAATTTTATTTTCCCCTTGTTTTTTAGTATTTCTTGATTTCTCCCTCAAAGAACTTCGGAATGTCTGCTAATGGCACCCTCTTCTCCACAACAGAGTTGGACTTTGAAGCGGGTGACAAAAGGTACTTTTGTCAATGACTTTACCTGAAGAATGGTTTAACTGGGGGGTAAAGAAAAGTGAGGGAACACCCATACAGAACCTGAGGGCAGTTGGGACCATGAATGGCTTGCGCCTTGCTGTAAGTTCTGAACCCAGGGAAGAACAGGAAAGAGTCAATTTCCTGGATGGTGTCTTCCTGCTCTAAAGCATTCTCTCCAGATGGCAAGAGTGACAGTGTGGGAGAGGGCCCCACCAGAGGAATGAAGGGCTCACAGCCCTGTGTGGCTTGGGGGCGGCAATACCCATGGGGGTGTTTGAGGGGCATGAGGACAGTGAGTGGGATGAGCAGGCCTCTGAGGAGAGGCCAGGCTTTGAACTGAAAGCCACTGGCCTTGGGTGAGCCAGGTGTGGCCCCTGGCTCTGTACTAGTCAAGAACTAGGGTAGTTACTGGTGCTGGGGACGTAGCTCAGTGGTAGATCACTTGCCTAGTATATGCCAGGTTCTAGGTTCCATCTCTAGCACTGCCATGACCACCAAAAAAAAAAGCCTCATTTCCTTTCCTGAAAGACAGGCACTTTGCAGGGATAGTGTGAGGTGCCAGGAGGCAGAGGGTGTGACTTGCCTGTCCTGGGAGGTGAAGAACAGCTACAGAGTGGGCTTTAGGGTCAGGGAGGGAAGGTGGGCACAGCAGATCTGACTGCTGTAGTAGCGTAAGGAGAGGTGGCTAGAAAGGGGAACCTCTCTGCCTTACTCTTCCCGTCTGTCTTTCCTTTTACTTGAGTCGGCCCAGCAAAGCTTGATTCTGTCCTTGGAATGTTTCCCTGACAGCTTCCAACTTGTCGTGGGAGTGCAGGATAGCAGAGGTCTCAAAGCCTCCACGGTGCTTCAGGTGACTGTTGTGAACATCAATGATGAGATCCCTCGCTTCACCAGGTAGGCTGGAGGGCACACAGGGCTCCCTGGGTCCTCTGACATATTTATGACAAGACGGAGGTATGCCCTTTGCTCTGACCTAGAGGTGAGACAAGAGGTGCCAGCTCTTGTCCTTTCCCTGGGTCTCTGGACCTCCCTTTTCCACCTTTGCCCCCTTCGCCTCCTGTACCCTCACATTCACATGCACCATGGGGTTATGGTATGGTAGGAAAAGGAATGGGGGCTGGGCATGAGGCCTGTGGTGTATGGCTTGTCACTGTTCATGCACAGATTGATGTAAGGCAGGTAGCTGTATAATGAAGTACATCGTGCTAATTGTAGTGGAATTCTAAAGAGAATACTCTCAGACAAGACTCTATAAGGCCACTTTTAGAGGTCATCCTCCAGTTGGGGAGAAGTCTGTCTGAATGGTCTAATACCCTTGCCCATTACTGGATGTGCCAGTTTCTTCCTGCCCTGGTGAATCCAGAAAGACATCTGGCTGTGTCTGCAGTTCCACATGCAGCAGAGGTGAGGAAGGTAAGGCTTTGGGTCTCTGCCACCTGTGAGAGGTGGCTTGGCACCATCTCAGGCCCAGAGGGAGAGTCTAGCCTGCTGTAGATAGTGATTCAGGGGGCAATATGGGATTCTGAGCTAGCAAATGACCCTTCAAATAGCCTGGCTTTCTGATTTCTGCCTGTCCCAGCCTGGCACAATCACCTGCCTGGGTGTTAGCACACTAATGGCTGTGAATAAATTCAGCATGGGATACTCTGACAGTGACAAGTCATTAGGGTGCAAGTATTATTTGTTAGTTTAAAAAATTGAAATTTATTTAAAAATACTATTAGGTTGAGCCAGGTGTGGTGACCCATCATGACTGTGATCCCAGCACTTGGGAGCTGATACAGGAAGACTGAGAGTTTGAGGCCAGCCTGGGCTATGTAGTTAGACCTTGCCTCAGAAAACAAGAACAAACAAGAACAAAAAGCCACTAGGCTTGAAAGCTAGGTAGAGCGCTTGCAAAAATATTCCAAGATTGGGAGGTATGAAGGCCACCCCATCCCCAGACTAACCTGGTGCCTCTTCACAAACACACAAGGATCCAGAAACTTCTGAATATTGACACTGTCTATAGCCCAGTTTCGGGTTATCAATGTGGAGGCAACAGCAGCAAATTCCCACGAAACGCTTGGTCAGCACCTGTTGCCAGGTTAGGCTCAGGAGGGCACCGGGTGTTTCTGCTGACCAATTGTTCCAGAAGCACAGGCGGTTTATAAATAGCTGTGACATCCCAGCCTGGACGCAGGCTCAGGTATTTGCCCACGAGGCTCTGTGGATTCATGAGTAACTCCTAGCAAGATGTTGGCTGTGGGGCTCCCTAGGCTCAGAACTCGCAAACCATCTGGTTTCTCCTATCTTCTAAACCACAGCAATTGACCTGAGAAAGAGAGAACATGACCTCGGTGGTTTGGGGGCCACCCAGAGGTCAGCCTGAATCTCCCTGCTTCTCACTTTTGGTTTGAGAGATGACCCCCACCACACCAACAGCATGGCCTGTGTGATGGTCTGACTTTTTTTTTTTTTAACCAGTACACTTTATTTCAAACAGCATTCCATGGATGGTGGCGAGGGTGGGTCTGCACCAGCCTGTGCTCCCAAAACAGGGCTTGGGGCAGGACGCTGTCTGATTTTGCCCAGGCTGTTCAATCGTAGGCATCCTCATTCCTCAGTCACCCACAATGTCAAAGGACCTGGTGCTGTGAACTGAGGGCCTTTGTGACTCCCTTGGGTTTCTAACCTTCCCCCAAACTAGTGCTAGTACCAACCACAAATTGTTTCATTCGGAAAGCATAAAATGAAATCTTCAAACAGACTCAAGTGTACTGCATCTGACTAGGGCATAGCAATGTAAGATGTAGAAACAGCCCTTCTGTTTTTCCTGAAGTTAATACAACCACAGTAACTACTATTTCTGTTGTTGAAAATGTCTCCCCATGTCATCCTGGATGGTGACACATGTCTGGTGCTTTGTGGGTACATGATATATACCTAGAGAATCTGCTGTTATTAAAGTTGAGCACTTTATTGTAAAAGTACCTGGCATATTCACTCTTTACCTGTGCACAGTGCTTGCTATTTTTACAGAGCACTTTATTTTAAATGTCAGCAAGTGGTGCTCCCTCGCTCTTGCCCATTACTTTGTATTTTCTGGAAGCCCTCTTTCACCTGGGGCCTAGCAGTGTCATGCATACTTTAAGCCCTTACGTAGTACTCACTCACAGGGATGAAGCTATGCCTGGTCCCTCAGAATTCTTACCTTTTCCTGACTGTGACCTTTTGCCCGCCACCTGCTTCTTGCCTGGGTTCCGGTGACCAGTTGTGATGGGGAGAAGGTCATGGGAATATGAGTTATATTAGAGCTTCCTCCTATTGGCTTTAGGTAGGTCTTCACTTGATCAGACTTTTATGTTGAACCATATTTTATAAAGATCCAGATCTCAGATCCTGAAATCAAATAGACCAAAGATTTCCTCTTTTGCCAGACTCACTATCAGGGTAGCCGAGGAGAGGTTGTTTGAGCTGAAGTGCCATGACATCACAGATAGCCTGACCAGTCCCCTTCACAGGGGCCTGGTCTCCTGGCACACCCAGCACAGACTAAAGGAACCTTCAAGCAGTTTCAGCAGCACACCACTGACAGTCTGAGCTGGGTACTTCTTTGTGCTGGGGCTGTTCGTACATTGTAGGATATTTAGCGGTGTCTCCAGCTGCTACCCCTATACCTCAAGAGTCGCTCTCTCCTCAACTTGTGACTACCAAAAATGTGTCCAGATATAATCGCCCCCAGCTGAGAACCACTTCCTAGAAGGAAGAGCACAGGTGAGAGGAAGGGAATTTTCCCTTCAAGGTTGTCCCTTTCTGTTCTAGGGAGGCTGGAAGCCTATAGTGCCCACCTATGGCACCACATTATCCTGATAGTCCTTCTCAAGCTTTTAAGGGCATGCAAATCCCTGGACATCTTATCAACACACAGCTCTTCCTTCAGTGCTCAGGGGTGGATGGGCCTGAAATCTGCATTTCTGAGGGGTTTCATGGGAACACTGGTGCTGTTGGTTGGGGAGTAGCCAGGAGAGCCAGGGCAAGGCTGTGTAAGTAGTAAGGTGTCTTTGTGATCCTTTATCTGGAAGTTAACAGAATCATTCACAGTGCAAAAAAAAAAGCATCCCATGTTAGAACAGGGGCTCTCACCTAGTGGACAAAGGAGACAAGTGGCCATAAGAGATAGGGCCTCTTGCCTTTCTCCTTTGGCTCTGGTTTTGGTCCTTGTCACCCCTGTCTATTTGGCCTCATTCTCTTTGGCTACTCCCGGACCCATCAGTGGTCGGTGTTATGGACCCCTTGAGAAGGAATGTGGTGGGAAAGTGAAAGGAAGAAGAGGCCTGCTCAGCCAGGACACTGGCATGGAGGCCCTGAGCATTGGAGTGACCTCTTGGCAAATCCCCCAGGATGGGGTGCACCCACAGAAGTTCCCACATGGATGGGGTGGGGGTCAGGATCCAGGGGACAACCTGATAAGAAGGGATAGGTGAGAGTCTGGCTCTAGCCTTACTGTACCTGGCCCGACTCTAGGCAGAGGCTCCCTGCTTGCTGGCTAAGAATAGTGAGATAGGGTTGCCCAATCTAAACCCCCTACAACCCTCCCCCCACAATGCAGACATTTCTTTTTTTTCTTTTTTTTATTATATTCATAGGTGCATACAATGTTTGGGTCATTTCTTCCCCCTTCCCCCACCCCCTCCCTTACTCCCCAACCCCTTGCTACCAGGCAGAAACTATTTTGCCCTTATCTCTAATTTTGTTGAAGAGAGAGTATAAGCAATAATAGGAAGGACCAAGGCTTTTTGCTAGTTGAGATAAGGATAGCTGTATAGGGAGTTGACTCACATTGATTTCCTGTGCATGTGTGTTACCTTCTAAGTTAATTCTTCTTGAACTAACTTTTTCTCTAGTTCCTGGTCCCCTTCTCCCAGTTGGCCTCAGTTGCTTTTAAGGTATCTGCTTTGGTTTATCTGCGTTGAGGGCAACAAATGCTAGCTAGTTTTTTGGGTGTCTTACTTATCCTCACCCCTCCCTTGTGTGCTCTCGCTTTTATCATGTGCTCAAAGTCCAATCCCCTTGTTGTGTTTGCCCTTGATCTAATGTCCACATATGAGGGAGAACATACGATTTTTGGTCTTTTGGGCCAGGCTAACCTCACTCAGAATGAAATTCTCCAGTTCCATCCATTTACCTCCAATGCAGACATTTAGATTGAGGCAAAATATACTTCCCCTCAAGGAGGAGCCAATTTAGGGCACTGGGAAAGAGGTGACTATTTGCCCCACTGAAAAGCTTTTGTCTCAGCAAAGGACTTCCTGCAGAGTAATTTTTTAAAGCTAATCTCCCTTTGGTGCATGCATGCTACCCGGTTCACTCAGTTGTAGAGTTAGAACTTCCAGCTTGACTGTCTTATCACTGGCATTTTCTGAAGGCATCAGTGGTCTGAGAAGGATGGGTAAGTTGGAGATTTGGGGTTATCTGGTAGGCAGTGACCTTGGAAAACAGGACTCTGACCTTGTCTGATGCCAGAGGGACTTATTTCTCAGTTCAGAGAGCTGACCTCATGATTAATGCAACTCTGAAAGGTGCTCCAGTTCCATGTGTAAATCCCACATCCTCAGGCAAAAGATAAAAGACAAGGAAGAAAGAAAGAGTGAGAAAAGGTGATAGAACAGAGAATGCTTCTGGCTTCTGGTGGCATCCATGGGGTAGGAGTCAGGCATGAGGGAGGAAACCTGCAGTTCTGAAAATTGTGTCCGGATGGCTTTTTAAAAAAATCCAAACAACTTTTGCACAAAAATTGAGAGAAGGAGGTAAGATAGCTGGATAGGTCAGCCATTTTATTTTATTTAAAAAGATGCTAATGCTAAGCTGATCTGCAAAGGCATTGGGCTGGCGTGCCTAGAGTCAGAGACTGTGGCCCGTGTAAACTGCTGCAGTAGCAGCCTGGCACTGCCTTGCATCCACAAGGATGTGATTAGTGGAAATACGGAAGTCAGTCACCCCTCCTCTCAGCCACTCTGTTCTCCCTCCATGCGTGTTGATGCAACTTAAACAGCTCAGTGCTATATTTAGCACTCACCAAAATACCAACTGCCCAGACTGCACCCTTCCTTGCCCGTACAATGTAGCTGTGTCTGCTGTTTCTGCTCCAGTGCAAGGAAAGTGTACTCCATTCCTGAGGAACTGGGTCCAGGCACCATTGTGGCCAATGTCACGGCAGAGGATCCTGATGATGGGGGCTTGCCCGGCCGCCTCCTCTACAGCATCACTACTGCTAGCAACTATTTTGTGATGAACCAGTGTAAGTCACACATAGCCATCCTCTAGTCCTGCCACTGGGTTGTTTTGCAGTATTTGCCTTCTGATGTGGGGCCCACCTTTCTGTCGAGGCTCATGCTTAGTTACCAGGGAATAAATGTGTTAAAAGCACATTTATTTGTAAAGAGTTACAAAGGTAACTCTTTACCTTTGAAGGAGTAAAGAGCTTTCTTTTCTCACCCATCATAAGGATCATGGTTGAGACCCCCCAAAATCTGGCTGTATTTATAAAAAGCAAATTAAGTCAGGTGTGGTAGTACAGGAAGGAGAATCTCGAGTTTGAAGCTAGCCTGGGCTATGTCAAAGGCAGATTAACAAGAAAAAGGTGTATAAATTTACTTGAGTTTTATGTGACACAGGAGACTTCAGAAATGAAGGCTCAAAATACAGAGAAGTCTGAGTACAGTGGTGCACACCTGTGATTCCAGGTATTCAGGAGGCAGAGGTAGCAGTATCTAGGTCCAAGGCTGGACCAGGGCAAAAGTGAGACCCTACCTGAAAAATGAACTGAAGCAAAAAGGGCCAGGGATGTGGCTCAAGTGGTAGAGTGCCTGCCTAGCCAACACATGGCCCTGAGTTCAAACCCCAGCAGCACCAAAGAAAAAAGATACAGGGGAAAGTGTATTTTATGCTAACTCTGATGAAGATATGAATAGTTATGAAATATGACTGTAGACAAAAGGAGTGTAATAGAATGGTAATTAGCGGGGTGGGGGTGAGGGAGGTGAGGGTGGGGAGAGACTCAGCAAGGCCTGTGTGTTCAGGTTCTTGGTGTTTCTAGGTCTTCCTAGATGACGCTGTTCCTCTCCTCTGGGCACAGGTAGGGCATCCCTGCAATGAAGGGCTAATGATCTTTTTGGGAAAAAGGGAATTCTCCTACGACCTGCTTCAGGGAAAAAGGACAGAAGAAGGGCAGAGAGGCTTTCCTTCTTCTGCTGTTTTCCAATACCAAGGTGCCATATTGTGGGGTGGCATTCCCTGAGCCCCATCACCTTTAAGGAGGGTGGCTCTGAGAGGACACCCTAGGTCTTAGGAAGAGAGGATGTGTACTAGTGCTGAAATAGAATGAAGTTAAATAAGTAATTTCAAAGTCTCTCCTAGTCATTTTTAAAAAGAAACAAGTGAAATGAGCCTTAAGATCCAAAATATTATAATTGAAACATACAATCAATATTTAAAGGATATTGAGATGACTTTCATTGTTTCTTCTTTTTTTGCAGTGCTGGGGCTTGAACTCAGGGCTTTGCGCTTGCTTGCTAGTCAGGTGCTCTACCCCTTGAGCCATGCCCCGGCCCCTTTTGCGTTAGGTTTTTTTTGAATAGGGTCAACATGAACTGTGTGATCCTCCTATTTACACTTCCCAAGTAGCTGAAGCATGTACCACCATGCACAGCTTTTATTGGTTGAGATGGGCGTCTTAAGAACTTTTTTGCCTGAACTAGCCTTAAGCCTCAATTCTCCTGACCTCCTGCCTCTTGAGTAGTCCAGGTGTGAGGCACTGCACCAGGCAATGTTTTACATTATTTTCTTTGATATCAAGTCTTGGAATCATGATTTTATGCTTAAAGCTCATCTCAATTCAGCTTTCAAGTGATTAATAGCTACATGTGGCTAGTAGTAATATATTGGACAGTATCACTCTAGATCAACCTGCTGGCTTGTTGGGAGTTATTTTCCCATCTGAGGATCTCAGTGTAGAGAAAGAACTTCACCCTTCTGCAAAGACCACCTTCACTGGAGACTTCACACCCTGCAAACTTTAAGTTTGAGTGATCCACACACTTCCACCCAAATTACCCAACACAGCCCAATGAACTAACAAAATCCTCATTTTACAGAAGAGGAAACTGAGCTTTAGGGAGAGACCAGGACAGGTTAAGTGATTTGTACAAGCTCCCACAGCTCATAGGTTGTGAAACAGCGATACCAGTCCAAGCCAGCTGATCCCAGAGCCTGTCTTCTTAGCCTCTACTAGATATTTACAGGAACAATCTAAGTTTTATTAAAGGATGTATTTCTATACAAACTATTCTCTGCCTAAGCCAGTTCTTGTGTTAGGATGGTATTCCCAGTTTTCTCCAAGCTTCCCTATACCTTTAGTCTTCATTTGTCTTCAAAAAAGTCATGTTCTAACCTTTGCCTTCTTAGTGACTGGTACAATCCAAGTGGCCCAGCGGATAGACCGAGATGCGGGTGAATTAAGACTAAATCCCACCATTTCTCTGGAAGTGCTGGTGAAGGACAGACCCTCTGGGGGTCAGGAGAATCGCATCCAGATAACCTTCATCGTGGAAGACATCAACGACAACCCTGCTATGTGTAAAAAGCTCACCTTCAGGTATTCACATGTTGAAAGTGGTGCTGGACCTGTCACCTGTGGGTGGTTCTTGAGCCTTTGGCTTCTCAGTATATTCTTAGGAGAAACTAAAGAATTATGGGTATTTGGAGAAAAAGCTCACTACAGTAAGTAGATTTGCACTGTCCGATTTTGTACAGAGGTTTTCTTTTCATCATCCTTTTTCCTTCCCTCTTTTCCATTTTTGTTCCTCTTCGTTATTTCCCTTCTCCACTGTCTAACTCTATTAAGAGTTATTTTTTGCTGTGCTCTGTTGGTAAAAAGTACCACGGGGACTTGTTAGGCCCTCTCTGGACTGTGCCTTTTCTTTATTTATTGCCACTAGCAGCAAGATGGTGCTGTTAGTTAGCAGTGATAATAAATGCTTGAGACTTAGGATTAGTAACTAGGAACTCCCAAAGAAATGTACTACTAGTAAGATGAATAAATGAAACCAAGTACTTAAGAGTAAAACAAAACAAAGCATCTAATTCACCTTATACAACTTAATTGCAGACAAATAAAGGGGGGAAATGTAGATACAAGTGGAACATGAGTTATTATGTACATTTTGACCTGTTCTTTGTCTTACAATCTATTCAATCATTTTAAGATGAAGTCCTTGGTGATTCTGGGTTAATATGCCTTTTTTAACAAGAGCATTGTCTTTCCTACTAGTTATTTTGTCAAAAAGACACAATATTAGTAATTTCTTGGGTTAACTTCAGCTCTGTGGTTTCCTGAAATTCTAAAGGGGACTCTTGGGAGTGAGAAGGGGGAAGAGTCTCAACAGTGACCCTTGTACCTTGCAAAGAGATCACCCAGAAGCACAATCTTCAAGGCTGAAGACCAGAGCAGCTCTATTTTGATGTCCCCATGGGGAAAATCTCTTGAGCTTAACTTTGGACAAAAGACAAAGGACCTAGGCAAAGATTGTCTGGGGTAAGCAATAACAATATAATTTCCCTTGTTATACTTACAACTGTTTTCCTATTTTCCCAACTGACAAGCCCAGCACAGTGTAAGGGATCAGTGTGGCCTTGAGCTTGACAGCCAAACAGTTTTCCTCTGTTCTGGACACATCCTTGATCTTCCTGTTCACATCTCCATCCTACCCTGTACCCCAGGAGGCTGACCTCCGTAGATACCAACTAGCTTCCTTGCCCTCCAGCTTCTGTGGGCCAGTGGGAATCCAGGAAGAAGGGAGAGTGAGATCAGGGTACTTATCCCCCAGGCTTCCTCCTTACACCAGCTGAAGGGCTCAGATCTTATAAGGCAGCTCTGTGCCATTTGGGGGAATGCTTCCTTTGTTGGCTCCTCTGGGTCTGGGGGTAGTAAGCATGATCCACTCTTATTAACACTGAGCTATTGCACCATCCCTTGAGATTTCCAAATCCCCAGTGTGCACCTTTGTAACAATCCCTTTGCTAAATATCCTAGAATTATCCTAATTTGCCACCTGCTCCTGGTGAGACCCTGGTAAGCACAGTCTCAGGTCAGACCATGTGATAGGCTCCTATCGCAACTTAAGGTGCACCTGAGTCTCTCAGATGAGTAGGGATAGTTGTCATTGGTGGTTAGGACTGAGCCTTCAGCACCATTTGTGTATAAATCAAAGCCACCTTCTGCACAGAGAAGTCCAGACCAAGAGGAGGAGCAGAGATGATTTGCAGAGTCACACTTCTACTTTCCTTGAAAATCTAAATCTATGCCAGTACTCTTGGGTGGTCCCGGTGCATCCTTGGAAATTCCTGTCTTTGGATCCTGTTCTCCTAAACCCTCCTGTTTTTCCTTGTTCCCCTGCTCTGAGAAGTAGGGGCTGTGGATGAGGAGTAAGAACTCTGGGCATCAGTTTCCAGGGGGAACTGTGCTGTCTCAAGCTTCTCTTGTCCTTTTTTTCCTCTTGGTGCATCTCTGTTCATTGAGTCTTCTAGCTTCCTGTGGTCTTGAGTCCCCTGAGGAGGCAGAAGGACAGTTTGCAGACTGTGTTCCATGTTAGCTGGTGAAATCACATTTTCAATGACCTAGATTATCCAGGCAGCACATAGAGTCCTGTTCTTGCCCTTCTCTCCAAATTAGCCCTGAAGGCCAACACTAAGTCAGTAACTGGACTAATTGTGTCTATTACTGAAACTAATTCTGAACAATACTCATCTCTCCTCTGGGCTTTTCCAGTGAGGGTAACTCCCAGCCATACTGTAGGAGCCAAGATAGGAGGCAGGGCAATGAAAGGGCTCCTCCCACTGAGGTCAAGAGCTCAGCCCACGCATCAGCCCATGCATCCGTGACTCCTATGCATGCAGGACAGGCAGAGCAGAAAACCCCTGGTCCCGCAAAGCCACTAGCCTCCTGTCGGTAATCCCTCTCCATCCCAACCATGGCAAAGCCTAGTACGTAAGCAGAACAAAAGGCCAACAGAAATGGCTCTGCCACCGTCTCTGACATTTGTCCCTGAATCCTGTGATGTTTGAAGTTTGGGCGAGCTGGCAGAAGAGCGGCAGGCTGGGCGCCAGCACCCAATGACAGCAGCTGGGCGATTGGAGGCCGCGTGGCTGTGAGTGGAGGAGCGAGGGCAGCCTGGAGGAGGCGGGCGCCCCCTGCTGTCCCCCGCGGGTTACTGCAGGGTCCCAGCCCTTCGCACCGAGGCCGCAGCAGCTTTCCCAGGCTGGTGATGAATGAGCCCAGGGCCCCAGTGGAGGCATAGGAGGCGCAGAGACAGCCCTCCCTCGGGTTGTAAATAGTCAGGCGCTTGGCTGAAAGCGCTTCGCCAGCTCTTTGTGAGCAAGGGGCGGAGAAGGCTGGCGATCCGGACTGCAGCTGAGCGCAGTCACCTTTGCATGGAGAGGGATCCATGGTCAGATGACTGGGAGTGAGGGCAACTGGCTTTTGAGTCAAGGATTGATGAATGAGTGGGCGTGGCTTTCCAAGTCACACGTTTAGGGGAAAAAAAATACCAAGTGTCAGAGAAGAATGAAAGTGCCCGGGAGGAGGGGAGTGGGGAGGACAAGGGGGTAGGCTCAGAGCACTTGCCTAGCATGCACGAAGCCCTGGATTAGATTTCCCAGCTCCAAAATAAATAAATAAATAAATAAATAAAAAGAGAAAACATTTATCAGCCAGTGCCAAACGTGAACTGTTCTTTTGGAGGCTGAAATGTCTGCAGAGTTGTAATGAAAGCTCAGGTCTCCACATGTCAGTGACCTGGGTGTTCATTGATGGAATTCAAGATTCACAGTGACTAACACAACCAAGAGAGAGTAGTGACTTGGAGGCATTAACTTCTTAGACAGCCCTTGAAACCACTCTGAATCATTCTTTCCTCCTCTGTAAAATGAGGACCAGAGTACAAGCCTCAGTACAAGAGGAAGGAATTAGAGACAGTGTTTTCAAAGTGCTTGGTATGATATAACATGCAGTTGGGGTTTAATTAGTGCCTATTCTAAGTACTTATGAATAAAACTGTGACATTGTGAGATCAAGGCAGGAATGAGAGTGCTCAGACTCCAGTGCTGCTGAAACACAGATGTGCCCTTTGCCAACTAGGCATTGTGGGGACTCAGGCACACCTGCTTTCTCTCCATCAAACAGACATCAGTTACCCTCAGCTACCCAAGACCATCCTTGCTGTCAGAACTTGCTCTGCAGTAGCTGGTCCCGGAATCCATTTTATCTGCCATTAGGAGAGGCTGTGGAATATAGAAAGGGCATAATTTGGTTGCAGAGAGAGGTATAGAGGATTAAAGAATTTAATACATGTTTGTTTGGGTGTTCTGAAAACCAGATGCCAAGACAGGATTAAATGTACAAGGCTTTTATTAGGGGAAACACCTGTGGTACCAAGTGGGTCAGACCTTGGCAAGGCTGGGGACCATGATGCAACTCTGACCTGAAGGAGGAAAAGAGGGAGGTAAAGTGATTTAAAATGTTCTAAAGTGGGTGCAGTCTAAGGATCCTTCAGTGAAGGCATCAAAACTCCTGGAGTAGAAGTCGGAGGTCATAGGACAGAATAAGCCTGTCTTAGTATCTCTGCCACACTCAGTCATTGGTACATTGTTTTGCTACAAACCCAGTGATGAATTTCAGAGCACAGAAGCCATGCCAGTGATCAGCTATAAGCTGAGATTTGAAGGTCTTCCACATTCTCATGACAGGTGTAATATGTTTTTTTTAATTGTTTTATTATTCATATGTGCATACAAGGCTTGGGTCATTTCTCCCCCTGCCCCCACCCCCTCCCTTACTACCCACTCCGCCCCCTCCCTCTCCCCCCCACCCCCTCAATACCCAGCAGAAAGTATTTTGCCCTTATTTCTAATTTTGTTGTAAAGAGAGTATAAGCAATAATAGGAAGGAACAAGTGTTCCTGGTTGAGATAAGGATAGCTACACAGGGAGTTGACTCACATTGATTTCCTGTGCGTGTGTGTTACCTTCTAGGTTAATTCTTTTTGATCTAACCTTTTCTCTAGATCCTGGTCCCCTTCTCCTATTGGCCTCAGTTGCTTTTAAGGTATCTGCTTTAGTTTCTCTGCGTTAAGGGCAACAAATGCTAGCTAATTTTTTAGGTGTCTTACCTATCCTCACCCCTCCCTTGTGTGCTCTTGCCTTTATCATGTGCTCAAAGTCCAATCCCATTGTTGTGTTTGCCCTTGATCTAATGTCCGCATATGAGGGAGAACATACGATTTTTGGTCTTTTGGGCCAGGCTAACCTCACTCAGAATGATGTTCTCCAATTCCATCCATTTACCAGCGAATGATAACATTTCATTCTTCTTCATGGCTGCATAAAATTCCATTGTGTATAGATACCACATTTTCTTAATCCATTCATCAGTGGTGGGGCATCTTGGCTGTTTCCATAACTTGGCTATTGTGAATAGTGCCGCAATAAACATGGGTGTGCAGGTGCCTCTGGAGTAACCTGTGTCACAGACTTTTGGGTATATCCCCAAGAGTGGTATTGCTGGATCAAATGGTAGATCAATGTTTAGTGTTTTAAGTAGCCTCCAAATTTTTTTCCAGAGTGGTTGTACTAGTTTACATTCCCACCAACAGTGTAAGAGGGTTCCTTTTTCCCCGCATCCTCGCCAACACCTGTTGTTGGTGGTGTTGCTAATGATGGCTATTCTAACAGGGGTGAGGTGGAATCTTAGTGTAGTTTTAATTTGCATTTCCTTTATTGCTAGAGATGGTGAGCATTTTTTCATGTGTTTTTTGGCCATTTGAATTTCTTCTTTTGAGAAAGTTCTGTTTAGTTCACTTGCCCATTTCTTTATTGGTTCATTAGTTTTGGGAGAATTTAGTTTTTTAAGTTCCCTATATATTCTGGTTCAGGTGTGATATGTTTTTGTAAGAAACTCTGCCAAGGCAAAATATGATTGAGGTAGACAGGAAAACAAAACAAAACAAACAAACAAACAAAAAAAACAGCCACAAATTCTTCCCCATCTGTGTGATATCTCTTTGTAATATGATTTTGCTAGTCTTCCCTTTCTAATTGAGTCTGGGCTTGACCCTGTGAATTTCTTTGGCCTCTGGAACGTTCCAAATCTCAACACAATAGGGGCTTGCAGAGCACTTGTGCATCGACTTTGGTGCTCTTGCTACTTTTGGAGCCCTGAGATCTCCATGTGAAGAGCCTCCTGGAAGATGAGAGGTAGAGATCAACCACTTTCCCACCACGAGCCATGTGAGTGAAGCCATCCTAGTCCGGCAGCCCCAGTTGAACTGTCAGTGACCACCGAGACCAATCAAGTCCAACTGGAGTCAAAAGAACTTCCAGAGAGCCCATAAGGTCATAAGAAATAATAAATGATTGAGTTAAGTCACCATGTTGTGGGATGGCTTGTTTTGTAGCAAAAGCTAACTGACATGACCTATGCCCATTGTGTAGATGGAGAAACTGGAACCTGGAGACAGGATAAAGGCCCTCAATGCATTGAGGCTTACAGATCTTGGTCTTTCTCAGTCTTCCACACCAAGCTGTGCTTGATCAGAGACTTGAGTTTAGGGTAGCTTTACCAATTTGGTTTTTTTGCCTAGACTGTGGGTCAACTGAGATAAATACTTATTGAGTGTGCCAAGAACAAAGCAAAGACCCCTGTCTTCCTGGAGTTTATATTCAAGGGGAGAAACAGACAATAAACAGAATAAATAAAATGCATAGTATGTTGGATAATGCTAAATGCTAAGAATTACAAATAAAGAAGGGAACAGGAGAGGAAATGACAGGTAAGGATCATTCATATTTTAGATAGGGCAGCCTTCTCAGTAAGGCTTACTGAGAAGGTGACATTAAGTTAGAGGCTAAAGAAAGCATAGAAGGAAATCATCAGTCAGCTTTCCAGAACTGTAACAAATAGCTGAGACAATAAGCTTTTAAGAAAAGGTTTATTTGGACTGTGGTTTCAGAGATTTCGGTCTATGATTGGTTGGCACCATTGCTTTGGGCCTGTGGTGAGGTAACACATCATGACAAGAGCTTTCGGTACAGCAAAACCACTCACTTGATGGCCAGGAAGCAAAGAGAGCAAGGAAAGGGCTGAGGTCTCACTGTTTCTTTCAAGAGCCCCAACCAATAACCTAACTTCCTCCTACTAGACCTCACCTCTTAAAGGTTCCACCACCTCCCAATAGCACTACCGTGGGGATCAGGCTTTCAATACATGGGCCATTGGGGGACACTCAACATCTAACCTATCTCTATAGTAGGGAACCCCTGAGTATTTGTGGGAGGAGCATTCCACAGCAAGTGCAATGAAACCAGAGAGCCTGGTAGCAAGTGCAAGGAGCACCAGGAGACTAGAGTGGTGGGAAGAGTGTAAACAAAGAGGAGAAGTAGGAGATGAGTCAGAGAGGTCAGGCGGGTCCTGAAGATCAAGTTAGGACTTTGAGTGAAATGAAGAGACATTCAGGACTCAGAAGCAGAGATAGAATCTTACAACATCTTAACAGGATGCCTCTGGCTGCTGTGTTAAAAATAGTCTGAGGAGGCAAGGGCAGAAGCAGGAAGACCAGTAGGGAGGTTGCTGCAATAACCAAGAGCTTGGTTTGAGTTGAAAACTGAAGTAGAAGTGTCTAGCCTGGGGCCTCGGTTAGAAAGAACACTCCATCACCATTTGCTGGGAAAATATTGAATTGTGTCTTTTCGGCAGCATTATGGTGACTGAAAGTGCAGCCAACGGGACGTTGCTTCTGGACCTGAACAAGTTCTGCTTTGATAATGACAGTGAAGCACCAAACAATGAATTCAACTTCACCACGCCATCTGGAATGGGGAGCAGCCACAGATTTTCACAGGATCCAGCTGGCTCTGGGAAAATTGTGGTCAGTTTATGGTCATTGCATCATTAAAAGGGCATTGGGGAAGCCGGTCCAGCATGCATAGTGCTTTTGCTGCCCCACAGAGAGAAATTTCCAAAGTAACCCCCTCTCAGAGCCACTGTAACCAACAACCTTAATAGTGGGTCTGTGTTCCCATCTGCTCTTTATTTCACCCGGGTCCCGTAATCTTTCATTACGCAGAGCTGTGCTGGGGGCACTAAGGACTGGATTCCTCCTTGTGTAGCTTGCATTTGTGTACCTGCTTCATGTGTCTTTATAGATGCATTAGTGCCCTCTGCTCTGGCTCTTTTGTTTATTTGAGTGCTCATTCCTCAAATGAGGTGTGAGGGAGAGAAAGCAGGGCCTGGGGCATGAGTGTGTCTCATCATAGAACCACCAGAAACCTGAAGTGCAATGAGACAAGGAGGGTGTGCACACACAGGGGCAAAAACAGAATTGGAGGGATGGGGATGGTGGGTCTCAGTGAGCCAGGAGGCCCTTGATTACAGGGCTCCTGCTGGAGGGTGGTAGGAAGGAGACAAGAAGATAAGGGCAAAAGTGGGTGGGTTGCTCTAGGGCCATTATCAGGGAGGAGAGCAAGCAGGCCATCACAGCCCCCACCACCTACCTCCTGCCCCACCTCCCATCCCGGGCCCTTCTTCAGTTCCTAAGCAAGTCTTACCGACCTTATTCACAGTGTCATATAAGAAATAATTTCTGGGCTCTTCTCTTTAGGAAATTAATCCATGGTCACTGTAGCAAATAGAGAAAGTACAGGAAAGCATCACCATGCAAGGATAAACACTGCCAATATTATGATATGTTTCCTTACCTCTTTTCTGCTCATGTATCTTATTCATATGTGAATAAGTAGGTTAAATAATGCAAAATATTCCTGCACAAAAGATTCAATATTGTGCTTTTCTTCAACTAATCTGACGTGGGGAGCCTATGTTTTTTGGGCAATAGTGCTGGATGAATGTCTTTGTACAAAGATTCTCCTGGTAAGGTTTTTGTCTCTAGCAGTGCACAAAGATATGGTCATGGTGTTTTAAAGCTCCTCCAACGCACAAGAAAAATGCTTTACAGATCCACTACCAGTGTATGAAGATATCTTTGTCAGTTCATTCATAGGACTGCTTGTTTCCATATAATTTAATATTTCTGTTTTAATCTAGTTGATTGGTGACCTGGATTATGAAAATCCAAGTAACCTAGCAGACGGCAATAAGTACACTGTGATAATCCAGGTGCAAGATGCTGCTCCTCCTTACTACAAGAGCAAGTATCATTCTAGTTTATTTCGCACAGCATCTCCTGAGCATCGATAACCAAACTGCACTGGGCAGCTGCAGGTGCTGACTGGATCTCCCTTCCCATTAGCAGGGCTCCAACACAGGTTCTCCTCTTGACTGAAATCACAGCAGAGTTCTGAAGCATCTCTATACCTTCTGTCTTGCTCCTTTCCAGTGCAACTTTCCCCATTTCTCTCAGTGATTCTTCAGGAAATGCAAATGTCATCATATCACTTCCTTGAGTGTGTCCTGTACCTGTTAAATTCAAGTTCAAACTCTTTGGCTTGGCAACGTAAGGACTTTTATCTCTGCTCACTGTTTAACTCTAGCTGCAGCTCTTGTCTTTTCCCTCTAAGTTCCCTCCATCTTTTTTTTTTTTTCCAACTAGACCAAATAGTTGGAAATAGTTGCCCTGAGCGAATCATGCAGTTTTATACCTTAGCATTTTTGCATGTGCTTAGACCTCCTCACCCCCACTCCCACCATCCCCACTACCCATTTGTCTTGCTCTATCCTTGCAAGGCTCAGCTCATGGCTCCTCCTCCAGGTTCCACAAAGACCTGTTCATATGCTTATCAGGGGGTGACCAACCTAAAGCGTCTTAAAGGCAAGAACCACAGTCTTATCCATCCATATCCCAGAGCCTGCACTCAGAATATGCTTTTTAAAATGTTGAATAAACAAATGAATGAGTAAGGACCGTGATTTCAATTTGCTTCTATTATTTCCTTTTTCAGATAATATCTACATTTCTATCCTAACAAGCCCAGAAAATGAATTTCCTCTCCTCTTTGCTAGCCCGTCATATGTATTTAATGTGTCAGAAAGAAGACCAGGTATGTACCAGCCAAGACACAGACCACAGCATTCTTGCTGAATTTCACCAAAATGGAGGGGCCAAAGTCCTGCCAGAGGCCCCCAGTGTTTTTCACAGCAACTCACAGCTGATTAGTGTTTATTGCACATTTCTTTCTTTCTTCCCTTTTAAAATTGTCCTTGCTGCTGTGGAGCCCTTCAGATAAAACTTGAATTTCGAAAACTGTTGATTAAACCCTGTTTCTCTGAAACCCCTGACTGTTTCCTGGTCCATTTCCCTGATTCCGCTAATCTTTTCTTTTTGTATCCCAAGTTTTCTCTTGGTCTCCACTGTGATTTTTAACCAGCGCATTCAGAGAACGGAAATTTAAAAATAGAGTAATAGTTTTCCATTTCTCTATTTCCTTCATTTAAAAACAAAATAAGCATGGTGTGGTGGTGCAGGCCTGTAATCCCAGTTTCTCGGGAGGATTGTGGTTGGAGGCTAGCCCGGGAAATAATTTAGCAAGACCCCCATCTCAACCAATAAGGTGTGGTGGCCCATTCCCAGCTGGGTGAGAAGCATAACTAGGAGAATTGCAGTCTAAGCCAGTCTGGGGTGAGGCGGGGGTGAGGGGGAGGAAGTGAGACCCTATCCAAAATAAATAAAGCAAAAAGGGTTGGAGGTGTGGCTCAAATGGTAGTAAGCTTGAGACCCTGAGTTCCTATCCCTTGCCACCTAAATAAATAAATAAATAACACAAGAAAAAAATTCTTTCTTTTTCTTGGATTCTTTAGAAGGCTTCTAGTTTACCCTTTATCACACCTTGATTTTGCAGGTAGGCTCTCCTCCCTTTAAGAAAAGACTTCCCACCTCCAGCTCCGATTTCTCCCCCATACTCTAGTGTGTAAACTCTCCAGTAGAATAGATTCCCCCACAGTCTTTGAATTTGACAGCACGACCACTTCTTTCATCCTTAAAAACCAAAGCAAACCCCAAACAGAACATTACCTCTAAAATTATCTGTTTTATTTTCTCTCTTTATGATGGTCTCCATTTCCTGACATTGTTTTAAAACAAAATATAAAAGGAAGACCCAAAGAAACTGCTTACACCTTACCCAGTGAATTACACATTCAACAGGAATAGGCATTTTATGAATTCACAACTCTTACTACAATTCTTTCTGACTACATGCTCTGGGTCACACACTTGGTACTGGGCTACAGAATTGAATGAGAAGATATCTACCCTGGAGGGGTATAATTTATGAGAAAGAACTTTTATAAAATAAGCAAGCCAGAACTCCAGCAGCCCCACCAATGTTACTTGTAAAATAAGCAAAATGGAACACTATTTAAAAACTATATTCTGTAGAGTCGTTCTTTTCTATTTATGGATTTTTTTATTTTGGAGGTACTTGGATTTGAACTCAGGGCTTTGTGCTTGCTAGGCAGGCACTCTACCGCTTGAGCCACACCCCCCAGCCCTGTAGATTCTTCTTTTTTTTGGGGGGGGGTATCAGGGTTTGAGCTCAAGACTTATACCTTGAGCCACTCCACCAACCCTTTTTTTTTGTGTGTGTTAGGTATTCTTCTTTTTATTTTATCATTTTTACATTTACTCACATGTGTATACATTGTTTGGGCCATGTTCCCCCTGCCACTCCGCCCCCCCCCACCCCCGTGTTATGTGTTTTCAAGATAGGATCTCTTGAACTAATTGCCCAGGCTGGCTTCGAACCATGATCCTCCTGATCTCTGCCTCCTGAATAGCTAGGATTACAGGTGTGAGCCACAGGCTCCCGGCTAGATTCATTCCTAAAAAGTTATTTCTTCATCTTGTTTATAAGAGCAATTCATGTTCATTATAGAAAATTTGAAAAATACAAGACTTTAGACAGCACTGCTGCTAAGAGGTGGGTGTGTGTGTGTGAATGGATGCTCTTTGCACTGTTGTTCATGACATGACATGATTGGTGTCCTTGGTGTCTCTATAAAGGCAGGAGTTGTCTTTCACAACTTGCTGCACTGCTTGGATCATAGTTGTTACCTAGTGCGTGCTCATTAGTATACTTGAATTTAATATAACTGAAGATATGAAACACACAATTTGAACAGAAAGGAGGCTTCCAAAAGTGTTTCTGCCCAGGACAGTGAGGACAGCTGTTAATAGATCAGCCCCTCCTCCAAATTGGACTAATCACAGGTCCTTTATTCTTCTAGCCAGAACCCGAGTTGGACAGGTTCGAGCAGCTGATAAAGACTTCCCCCAGAGCAGCGTTGTGTACTCCATTTCCACTGGGGGGGCCAGCCTCCAGTACCCAAACATATTTTGGATTAATCCCAAGACCGGAGAACTCCAGCTTGTAACTAAAGCAGACTATGAAACAACCCCCATATACGTTCTCAGAATCCAGGCCACCAATGGCGAAGACTGGAGCTCAGTCACTGTGAGTGGGGTGTTGGATCTATTCACATCCTACCAACTGGTTGCCTTAGGGTCTTCCTGGCACCCTCCGGGTGTGGCTGCAGCAATGAGAAAGCGTCACAAGCACGTCTTGCAAATGAGTAGTGAGCAGTGGTGCCCAGGGCATAAAAAGTCACATCTTTATCTGAGGCCCAAGTTGGTGGGTGAGTAGAAGAAGTGCTAAGATTAATGGCCAGACACTGGCGTAGCTGCTGAACCCACAAAGCCACTTTGTGGGACAAGGTTCCTCTGATGGCCCTTTAAATCTTGCTTTGCTGGCGCAGTGAGCTGGTATACTGCCGGAAGTTGAGTGTGACTGTGAACTTCCTCTCCAAGAGCAGTTTTACCATGTTCCTATCCACCCCTGACACCAGATGGGGTAGTTCTTACAATGACACTGTGTTAGTCAGCTTCGTGTTACTGTAATAAAATATCTGACACAGGCTACCTACAAAGTGAAGAGAGGTTTGTTTCAGCTCATGCTTCTAGAGGTTCAGATCCATGATTAGGTGGCTCCATTTGTTTGGGCCTGTGGTGAGGGTGACACATCGTGGCAGGAGCAAGTATCTTAATGAGTGCACACATCTCCAGTCAGGAAGCAGAGAGAGAAGATAGGCCAGGGTCCCTTGTTTCTCTTGGGAGCACACCTCAATGGCCTAATGACCTCTCACAGGTTCCACCACTACCCAATAATGCCACCCTGGGGACCAAGCCTTTGACACGTAGTCCTTTGGGAGACACTCATCCAAACCATAACAGACGCTGACTCCTGTACTGCTTCTAAGCACTTGACAGCCTTGAGTGAGTAGGTGTGAGGCCAAGAGGCCGCCTCTCCATCGTGCTCCCCAGTGGTGCCAATGCTGCTGCTGGTCCAAGACCACAGCTTGAGTGGCACGTCAGGGTAACTAACACAAGGGCCTAACAAGTCTGTAGAGTCAGTGGGTATCAAGGACAACATGACTGCCACAAAGATCCAACTATTTCTAATTCTTTCCCATTAGTAAAGCAAAAAGGCACAAAGGCAAATGGATTCCTAGGTAGCATCTGGCAGCAGTGTGTGAGAGTCAGTGATTGGCTTAGCGTCAGGAGAACAAATTCACTTCTCAGCTTTGATCCCACTTTTCCAAAGGGGTCTGAGACTGAGCAAGGCCTGTCTCTGGTGTCCCTGTTGCTGTACTTCTTAAGTAGAAAGTCACCTGTTAACCAATGCCTGGATGGCTCAGTTCCTCTGGTGATTTGGTTTGAATTAGTAGGATGATGTTTTCAGTGATGTGTGAGGCTCGGCATTGCTGGCCAAGGAAAGTTGGAGATAATTGCAGTGTTTGTTAGGCTGGAGTTTTTTTGAGACAAATGAATGGATTCCACTTTGGGTGCTAACTAGTGTGAACATTACAATTTCTTCCTGGGCTCAGAAAGAGCTGAAATCCCCACGTTTCAAAAGTAGAATGAGTATGACTCAAAATTCATAAGCTTTTAAAAGGGCAATGAGCTAAATGATCACATCAGTCTCTTTCAGGGCTGACATTCTAGGGTTCTGTGCTGGCAGGCATCCCAGTCTACATGCCTATTCACCCAGCATAAAAGGCAGTGATGAAAGAGAGTAGGCTGACCCTGCTAGTGGCAGATCAGATCCCAGGCTCTGAGTGATGCTAACAACCCCAGTTATGGATGGGATCACACCTTAACCAGGCCCACTTGCTCCAGCCCAGGGCTTCTCAGCCCTAGATGCATATTAATCAGGTGGGGAACATTAAAGAAATTGCCTGGATCCTGTACTTCAGGGACTCCAATTCATTTGATTTCATGTGGGCCCAAAAAAGTGGAGCCAGTGTTGAGAACCATTGCTGTGTATGCCAGAGTTAGAGACTGAACTACCAGTTCTCAAGGGGCAGCGAACAATGAAGTATGGGTACTTATAAGTCCACAACTAGAAAAGAACTCAGTCATCTTTGGGGAGCCCATGTGTTTAGGTACACATGTGTGGAAGGGCATATGAATGTCTGTGTATCCTACATGCACATGACACACACGCATGTACACAGAATAGAAATTTACAGATAGGATCTGAAGAAGGGCAGTACTAAATTCAAATCCCAGTTCACCCACCAGCTGAATGGTCTTAGGTCAGTTATCTGCTCCCCCTCAGCTTCCTTATCCTTACTTCCAAAATGAGAATGATTATGTTATCTCTCTCTGTGACATTAAATGAGCTACTCTGTGACATTAAATGAGCTACTCTGTGACAAGTACGTACCCCAAAGAGTGCCAGGCACCCAGTAAGCCCTCCGTAAGTTTTAACTGTTAAGAATGGCTGTGTCCTCACTGCTCTAGGTTACTGTGAACATCCTCGGAGAAAATGATGAAAAGCCAGTATGTACCCCAAACTCTTATTTTCTGGCCATACCAGTGGATCTGAAAGTTGGCACAAATATTCAGAATTTCAAACTGACCTGTACTGACCTTGATTCCAGCCCCAGATCTTTTCGTTACTCCATTGGCCCAGGTAATGTATTTGGTTTCATCAGCTTTAGACCTGGCTCTGAGGACTTGGAGCAGTCCAGGGAGGACACTGGGCTCTGTGCTCACAGGCTGAGCTAATGAGCTAGGCACGGTGTCGGGGTGGGCTGGGTGTATTTTGAATAAGGAAGGAAGAATGAGGAGTCTAGTGAACGCTGTGTTTCCCTGTGCTCCTCGTGGCTTCCCATCTCACTGAAGTCTCCCAGAAACTCATACATGGCTGTCCAAAAAAAAAAAAGGGTGAATCCCAACCTCACCCAAGTTCCCAGACTGTAATATGAATCATAAATCACATTAGAGTAATTTAAAAAAATGTAGTCCAATTCTTCAACCACCTCTTCTCTTGAAATCTTGTCATGGGAGCAGGGAATCCCTGGTCTCTCTCTGAATAATAATAGATTAAATAGATTAAACGCATTTTGAAATGTGTCCCCAGCAATTCTCCTCTGCTCCATTCATTTTCTATCTTTAAAAATATACCATTGTGGGGACAAAAAGAACAGCCCTCAATGGACATTATACCAAAATAGCTCAACTAATGAAGTGCTGAGGCCAGAGACTTAAATCCAAACAAGCAGAGCAATTCCAGGCTGAAGAGCAAAGATCCATCTTGGCCACCTGCTGAGCCCTGGCAGCGCAGGAACTCAAGCAGCAGGAAGCCTCTGAGCCGCTGTGTCACAAACCCAGGGGCAGACACTGCCAGGGGGCTGCAGTTGCCGGAGATGGAAATAATCCATACTGAGAACCCCAAGGCCTTTATGGAGCACTTTGCTGCTAAGGGAGTAAAAATTGCATCATCTCCTGCTCCATTTACTGGTTTGCAGTTGGTAATGAGTGTGGAGCCACCGGAGGAATGAGCAAGAACCATGCTTATGCTGGCAGCCTTCCTGCCCCAGGCTCCCTGAGCTGTGATCCTCAACAGAGCTCAGAGTTTTGGGGAGTGAGTTCAGAAGAACCTGAGACTGCAATCCTTGCAAAGCCAGGAGGTAGTACTCCAGGGACAGCTGTAGCAAGTGTGACCAGCCAGGTCCCATGAAAGGCAAGGGGTGAACTTGGCTTATGCCTAGGGTGGTGGCCTGCTCCACCCTCTTGCTGACTACTCGTTGGTCCGAGTGTGAGTTACATATGCTGTTACCAAAGCAATGATGGATAAGCTAGCAGGAGATGCTCCAGAATCTAAATCTCTCTGCCTGGTGGCAGTAGGACAGGTATGCTGTTGTCCTTTTTGACTCATCCTCGTTTGCAGCCACACTGGTTGTAAACAAGTATTTCTTTGTACCCATGAAATCTTTTGTGTATCACTGACCCAACCCTGGTACATCAGAAACAGTCCACACCTGCTCTATGGATACTTAAAGAAATGACAAAATGCAGTTTTCTCCTAAACCTTTATTTTGTAAATAAAGGTTTTCTTTTTTCTTGTTACCAACACCCTCATGTTAAATCTCATTTAGGGAACATCAACAATCATTTCATCTTCTCTCCCAATGCTGGCTCCAACATCACACGTCTGCTACTTGCATCCCGCTTTGACTATGCTGGTGGCCTTGATAAGATCTGGGACTACAAACTACTTGTCTACATAACTGATGACAACTTGCTGTCTGGCAGGATGAAATCTAAGGCTTTTGTTGAAACAGGGACAGTGACTCTGAGTATCAAAGTCATTCCCTACCCAACCACGATTGTCACCACTGCTCCTGTGGTAAGGGCTTAGGGACCTGGAATCCCTAGCTACATGTCCTTGGGATGTATCTCAATGGAGCTCTTGATACAGAAGTGTGGGATGGACTGGAAAGAGTTGAAGTATTTGGCTAGATTGGATGGCCACTGAGTGGTAGATGAAGATCTGGGTGGGACGTTAGACTTGTAGAATCATTAACTTCCTACTCTGGTAAAGAAGAGTGTGTGTTTGCACAGAGACCTGTGATAGATCAGGCATTGACTACCTATGGTGCTTGTGATGTGGGAGCCAATTTTCATGGGCATGCGGCCAGTTGCTACCTTTACAGCCCCTTCTTTGCTTGTTCAGAAGAGTCATTACAAGTCAATGTCCATGAAAGCAGGTAGCTAGCTGCTTTCTCTAGCTCTTTTCAAGAGTCACTAAGTGACTCTTTGGGTTGGGTACTCAACCTGTACCTACTCCCCACCTCCACTCCAAAAAAACTTTATCCAATTGAGCAACATTGATGTAATGCTTGTAAATGCCAGCCACATTAGTGAACAAGCCAAACATGATCCCTGCCTCATGGAGTTTATGGTATAGGTCAGAGCTTCTCAAAGTGTGGTACCTGGACCAGCAGCATCAGCATTACTTGGGCACATGTTAGAAATGCTGATTCTCACTGGGCGTGGTGGCACACAATGGTACTCTCAGCACCTTGTAGAAATAGGAGGACTGCAGTTGGAAGCCAACCCCCCAAGCAAAAGTTGGTGAGACTCTTATCTCAAAAACAAGTTGGGTATAGTGGTGTCCATCTACAGTTCCAGCTACTCTGGAAGGTAGAGGCAGAAGGATCTATGTTTGAGGCCAGCTCAGGCCAGACCCAGTCTGAAAAGCAAAGTAAAAAAAATTTTTTTGTTTTTTTAAAGATCTGAAGTAATGGATTAAGTAGTACAGCACTTGCCTTGCAAGTGTAAGACTCTGAGTTCAAATCCGAGTATCCCCACTCCCCAAAGTAAAAAGAAAAGAAAGAACGCAGGGTCTCAAGCACTCTAGATTATTAGAGTCATATCTCACCCAACCACGATCATCATTGTAACCTCCAGAGAGGGATGTTGGAACTTGGAAGCCAGAACCTCTAGCCCTGGCTCCTGACCTCTTGGATCAGAAACTCCAGGGATGGAGTCCAGTAATTTGTGCTTTTAAGATTTCCAGGGAATTTCGATGTGCACTGAAATTTGAGAGCCACTGGCCTAGAATATAACAAGTATACTAATTAATAAAATAATTACAGATTGTGGAATGTGGTAGAAAGAAAATAAGTAACAGAATCAGTGTAGAAAAGGAGAGGAGAGCCTCGGAACCTGGCAACAGATTGCTATAAGTAACTGGCCCCTGTCCGTTTGTTCCCTTTCCTTCTCCTACCAGTAAAAGCTGCATCTGGGTCAGTGGCCCCATCCTGGTAGCATGCCAGAGTAAACTAATCAGAGCCTTAGAAAATTACCTATGAAGGTGGATGACTTCTGCTTCTCAAGAGTCTTGGCAAGAGCTGAATAATGCTCCTCTCTACTGGGCTTGAGTTAGTGTGATCCCAATGAATGGAGACATTCTGCAGTCATGTGTTAGTTACTTTTGCACAGCTGTGACCAAAATACAACTTAAAAGGAGGAAGTTTCACTTTGGCCCACATTTTCAGAGGGTTCAGTTCATGGTTGGCTGGTCACATGCACGTGGGCAGAACATCAGGAGGTATGTGGCCGAGGAGGTTCTTCCCTCATGGCAGACAGGAAGCAGAAAGTGGGGAAGAGACTGAAGATCAAATGTAATCTTCAAAGGCGTGACCCCAGTGACCCCTACTTGCTGCAGTTAGGCCTCGCTTCCTAATGTTTCCAGGACCTCCCAAAATAGTGCCACTAGCTGGTAACCTGCAGTTCAGTACATGAGCCAATGTGGAAGACATTTCATATTCAAACCATGACAAGCCCTAGGGACTTTCAGAGTGGGAGGAGCTAGTAGGCTCTTTGAGTAAGGAATTGCCACCTTTCTTGGGCTTGCCGCATGACCCAATTGTGACATCTCCAATCCTGAAATCTCCATACCTTGTTTGTCATCAGTCTCCCACTGTAAGAAGCAGATGCTGAACTTGAGGTTTCACTGTGATCGCAGCCCGCTCATCTGGCAGTGGCAGCTGCATCGAGTAAGCACTGAAAAGCCTATGACATGTTAGGAAAAAACAACTTTCATGCCCCTGCCATCTCAGTGACAGACTGGCTATATTAGTCCCGGACTTATGCTGCATTATGGTAGAAAAACAACCAATGGACTTTTTAGCTCTTGGGAAGTGGAGGACAGACAGAGAATGGAATTAGGCCAGATGAAACTTTTCAGTTCCATAATTTTTCTGGTTTTGACCTAATGTGCCCATTAGGCAGTGAACTATGAGCACACTGCAGAAGTCCAATTTGCAGAGTAGGAACAAAGAGTTAATAATAATAATAAATAATTAATAAATAAGCACTGTCAAGGACACTACTGCCCCTCCCCCACTCACCCTTCTGTTGTCTGTTGTTCAAGCCCAGAATCACCTACCAGATTCTCAGGGAAAATGTCTATTCCTCATCTGCGTGGTATGTGCCTTTTGTCATCACTGTGGGTGCCATTTTGCTTCTGGGCCTCCTGGTATCTCTGACCATCCTGTTGGCCAAAGCCAACCACAGATGCTGCCCCGGCAAGACTGGGAAGGACAAGAAACCTCTGTAAGTTGCTGGTGGTCTGGGCCGTGTCTCCCATTCCTGTCCAGGGCAGGGTGCATGGCGTGAAGGAGGGATGAGATTGTGGGGGATGAATTCCAGCTGCCCTTAGGCCTTGTGTGCTCTCTTTGATACCTGTGGGGCCAGGAAATCGTCCCTTTAACTTCCCCTGGCAGCCTCCCCTAAATGGCCCTGCTGGGACAGGAAAATTGACTCTCAACCTTTTGGTGACCTTGCCCTGGATAAAAGCTTCAGAAAAGACCCATTGTGAGTAGCAGTGAATATGGGGTGCTCTTATTTGTAGCATAATTGATGGGGGGTGAAATTTTAGAAGGATAAAAAAAAAACAGATAAGGGAATAATCTTTTGTCTCCAGTGATTCTGTTGGGCTTTCGTGTGACTAAACCCTTATTGTTCTTTTGCATGTAGCTCACTCCCAGGGAAACACAGGGTAAACACAAGCTGAGGCTCTCTCCTTCCTGTTCTCACCTGCTTGCACATATGCCTCTTGTTGTGGCAAACTGTGTAGTGTCCTTTCCTGGCTAAAGTGAAGTAGTGGCATGAAGTGAACAGAATACAGAATTGGCACCAGCATCTCCCAGAGTCAGCTTTCTTGATTTTCAGCAGCTCTTACAGCTTCAGCATGATGGCTCTGAGCTGGGGTTTTAGAGCTAGACAAGGCCTGGGTTCAATTCTTAGGACAAGTAAGAACCTCTATAAGCTTCAACTTCCTTATTTGCAAAACTAACCAATTAAATAAGCAAATGCAAAGAAAGCGCTTGGTACCATTCCTGACAAGGAGCAAATGCTACAACATCACAGCCAGCACTTTTAGATTTTGTTGCATTATTCTCCAGAGTTCAGACTCAGTGAGTTTAGGATTCTAGATTCCAAGTTCAGCTCTATGTCCAAGTATCTTGGGGTGTTGAAACCTCTGAGATTGGGGATTTTCCAATGGCAAAAAGGAGTGATAAGACTCATATGCCTTTTAAAGGTTGTTTTGAAGATTAGCTATTAACTATCAAATAAAAAAATGTATGGATGAAAGATTGTTTGAAAGTAGAAAGCATTAGCAGAAATATGTGCATTGCATTTTGCCATATTTATTGGGGAAGTTTGTTGCTATTGGCAACCTTCACTTCAAGGTAAGAAATCCTGGAGCATCTGCGGAAATTAAAAAAGGCATTTTTGTTTGGACTCTGCTTGCAAATTGACTTTTTAAAACCCTGATCCTAAAAGAGTGGCACATAAGCTTGTGCCATAAGGCTGTGTCCTGTAATGGGATTTGGGTAGAAGTTATTGAAGGACTTACAGCAATCCAAAAGACAGTAAAATTCACATGAAATTTATGGCTAACTATTAAATATGCACCTTGAATCTGGTTGTTTCTACTTATATTTTAAATATTGTTTTCAGCATGGTCAACTTAGAAAAACTAGCCAGAAATTCAGTCTCAGATCTGGTTTTTCTGTAAGTCACCCCATGTGGCAGTCAATATTTGGCAAATAGCAAGGAATAAGATTAGAGTCGCAGAATTATAGAATCCAAGGTTATCATGGGAGGGGTCTTAGTGTCCAAGTCTAGCTCTTCATGTTTTAGAAAGCCAAATTGAGCTGCCATCCCTCAATCCTCCCTGCTGTGAGCCAAGCCCCGTACTCTGCTGGCTACTGGGGAGAAAAATGGAATAGGAAGAATCATCTGGCAGTCCAACTGGGCTGGTCATGCCCTCACCAGGTGTACTTGTCAGAGACACCATGTTCCCTTTAGTTCTATAAGGCAATAGGTTAAAATTCATCAAACTCCCAGGACCTCCAAAGCCGGTAGTGATAGGGGCACTTTGTTTAGAGCAGGGTTTGTAGCCAAGCCTTCCTTTTTGGTCCCCATCTTTGATTCAACCACAGAATCCCAAGAAACATAGTTGCTCAAAGGATCCCGTGTTATCATGTGTGCACCTGTACAGAATACTTTCAGGTTAATTTATACTCATTCCTTTTTCTCCCCACAGGGCAAAGGAGGAAGGTACGTACAGGGCCTATTCTCTTTGTTGATTTTTTGCTTGTTGGTTGTACTCCATAAACAGGCCTCCAACTCAGAACCAGCCAGAGCACAATCATGTCTTCATGGGTTCTTAGCTGTATCACTGTGGGTAGAAGAAAGCAGAGGCCGATGTTGCTGAAGCAAGGAAGGGACAAGTGCATGGTGCTTTTAGCCCACTCTGATCACTCATGTTGGTCCTACCTGCTTCCTATCCAGGGTCAGCTCCAGTCAGCTCAGCTTAACCACCTAGATCCCACTGAGTAGGACTGGCATAAAGAGTTGTCTGTGGGGAGTAGGCATAGCGGTTCATGACTGTAATACCAACTACTCTGGAGGCAAAGGTAGGAGGATCATGGTCCAAAGCTAGGCCTGGGCAAAAACAAGAGACCCTATCTGAAAATAACTAGAGCAAAAAGGCTGGGGGCATGAATCAAGTGGTAGAGCATCTGCCTATGAAGCAGAAGATCCTGAGTTCAATCCCCAGTATCATGAAACAAAACAAAAACCAAACAAATATAAGCTCTCTGTGTGTTATGCACAGACAGTATCTACTTGTTGCTGCATACAGAGAGGTAGAACCCCTTCTGACAGCACACACCTCTTCTGAAAGAACAAGTGGTTCTTTAATTTCAGGTTGTAATGGATTTGGTCATTTTCACAAGTTATTACAAAGGGGGACCAAGGACAGTCAGATGAGCCAGAAATTAAAATTGAGCAAGGTCTATCTGAGAGCTCCAAGCCCAAATAAGGGTCTCATCCTGTCCCTGAGTTGTTGCCCCTGAGTTGTTGCTCCAAGGTGACTCCAGGTTATGGGGAGAGATAGGACAAAGGATTGAGAAGTGTTGTTTAACAATGTTTGCATTGCTCATTCCATCTGCAGATGTGTGGGTCCAATAGGAACAAGACTAGGGCTATACAGGGTTCAAATTCTGATTGTAATCCTTATTGATCATATGGAGTGAAGATGATCTTAAAGAAATCTTCTCAAACTCTCTCCATTCAGTTATTTATTTATTTATTCATTTATTTGGCAGCACTGGAGTTTGAACTCAGCACCTCATGCTGGCTAGGCAGAAGCTCTTACTGCTTGAACCATTCCACCTGCCTTTTTGTAATGAGTTTATTCCAGACAGAGCCTCTGTGAACTATTTGACTGGGCTTGGCTTCAAACCAGCGTCCTCCTGATCTTTGCCTCTGCTCATAACTAGGATAACAGTGGTGAGCCACTGACGCCTGACTCCAGTTACTTTTTTAAACGGAATTTAGGGAACTGATGCAAAAAAAAAAAAAAAAAATCCCTCTGCTACGAACAAAGTTATCAATTCAATCTTTTTTTTTATCTTGCAAGCCACCCAAAAGCTAATTTCCTAATTTCCTAGGTCTTGTAATAAAGCTAAACTGGAAAAAGTTTTTTCTAATTTAAATTTTGTATGTATTGCATATATGTATGTATAGTACTTTTTTCTGAGAAAATAGAAATCTGTCAACTAACATGTCTACAGATGGAAAAATTCTTTGCCTTGTCTGTAAGACGGAGTTCATAGCCTGATTTGGGGAAATCCCATTGTGAGGGTGGAATTTTAAGGTCAATTTAGTGCCCAAGAAGCTGCTTGTTCACTGCTGCCTGTTTTCTCCCTGCAGACATGAAGGATATGAAGCGAGAGGCTGCGGTGGTGAGTGTTCAGCCGTGGGCATCAGTCCTGGGTGTTGGGTGGTGGCTTCATAGAGATATTTATTATTCAGGAAGATATGTGTGTTTGGCCACTGGCACAGCTTGCCGTGTGATGAGCTCCTGATGGAATTCCTTCCCTCCACTGAACATGTCTGCAGATGTGTTTGCAGAAGCACTGGGTTTCATAAATATTGAACAGTGGTGTTTATTATCTACACCAGCTCTCCAGCAGAGTGCATTGGGGGAGTGGAGCTTAAAGACCAGAACGGGCGCTTTAGCTTTCAATGGGATTTAATTTTTTGCTTTTCCAAAACCTTGCAGAAAAGTGATAGAGAAAGAGCACTGGTTGGGTCTGGCCTTGGCACTATTGCTTATCCATATGACCTTGGAGATTCCTGGCCTCTCTGAGCCTTTCTCATTTGTGAAATAGAAGTGAGTACCCCTGCCCCGAGATAGTGGGTGGGGAGATATTTTGAAAATTTTTAAATGCCACACCAATGCAAAGCTCACAGGACAGTTGGAGAGTTCCCTTGCCACCTCCTCTTCATTTTCTTTCTCTTACTGAGCCTGATGACTTGAAGGTGATTCCCCAGCTCTTCCCACTCCCCCATAATGAAACTCTGTGGTAATCCAACACACACTTGGTGAATATGCACAAAGAGGGGTCAAAGCCATGCACTGGAATTTTTGGTTTAAGCCCACCATTTTAGTGCTTATACCTTCCAGCCAGTCTACAAACATTGCAGGGGCAATGCTTGATCTCTGAGGCCTCATTGTCCAGGGAAGTATCTTTGGGGTGCCCCTCAGAGATGGCTTTAGAACTGTGCAATATTAATCAACTAACTAAATAAATCCTTGTGACCGTAAAAAGTGGAGCTGCCTAGGTGATTCGATGGATGAAACCCATGTGCCCATTACCTCTGGCTTCAGAGTTGGGAGCTATGGGGAAGTGCACAGGTGATCACGCACAGGAAGGAAACTCATTAAACTCTGCATGCTGTTCTCATTAGTGTGCTGAAGACCCTGACCTTTTGAGGGCATTATGTGAGAGAAGGGGGTTGGTGTCCACGGGGTCAGGGACAGATACATTAGGTAAAGGACAGGTACTGGAGGGTGGCACAGAGTACATGGACCACAGAACTTAGATGTGACATTGCATGGCTTAGGCAGCTGGAGAAGGTAGGAGTGACGGAGCTGGCGTGGGAGCTCCTGAGGGCTCACCTATGTCTGCTGTGCAAGTCTGCCTGGCAATGGCCCCACCAAGGCAATGTAGGTCTTAACTGGTGTCACGTGTCATTTCAACTTTTCCTTCTACACAGTTTAGACGTCACTTGCTCAGGGTGCTTTCTTAAACCCCTAGTCTGGGTTCGTTGTCTCACTCTTACCTATACCCCACAGAGTCCAATATCTCTCCTGTCGTAGCCTGTGACTACATTGTAGCTTGTTTTTCAGTGGCAAGCATTGTGTGGCAGTGACCACACCTGCCTTGTTCACCAAAGTGTCCCCAGCACCTAGCACAGGGCCTGTTGAATAAATCAATGTCAAGAATCTGACATTGATTTGGGAAAGGACTCAGACTTGTGAGGATGAATGGCCTTGCCTGGGGAGGACTATAGGGCTGTGCTTGAAGTTGTCTCTCTCCCCCTTAGGAAACGATCCAGATGAACACTGTCTTTGATGGAGAAGTTGTAGACCCAGGTAACTAAGTGGCAATGCCACCCATAAGAATGCTTTTCTTTTTCCAGTGAGGACCTGTCCAATTTCTTGCTCTTAACTCGGTTTGTTGATCCATTTGGCCGTGTTGCCTATAACACAGGGCTGACCCTTCTGGGCTAAAATACAATGTGAGATCAGCTCTGAGCACAGCTAGCTTGCAGATGTGCAGGCATGGATCCTGAGTGAGCCCTCACCAGGCTCCACCTGCAACTCCCACTCATGGACTGCACCTCTTTCTTCTTCCCTATTTACAAACCAATTTAGGGATTTGGTGAATTCAAGAACACACACTTTTTCCTACTCATTAGTACTCCCTCACCTATCCTACCTGAATGCTTCTAGGGATGTCCTATTAGTAGTGGAAGAAATGGCAAGTTTGGCTTTTTTTTTTTAACTAGATCAGGGCCAAGAATTTCTTCTTGGTTGGTGCAATGAACATAGATAAAGCTGGCCTCCAGAGCTCTTATCACCCCCATGGAATCAGTTCCAAATTTAGCTCCTTCACACACATCCCTTCACTTACAAAGGCTCAATTATAGACGTGAATAAAGGGAAGGAAACCAAATTCAGGAGGCAAGTGTGTTGGCTCACTGCCACCCTCATATGCAAACTGCTCTGGTCCTTGGAAGGAGGATGGCTCCTCTCCAGTGCAAAGCTGCTGCTGTTGGAATTAAATTTCTCTCTATTATTAGGTACTTGTTACCATAATGTGCCCACATTAGCATAAGTGCTGGTGGGATCCTGAGCCGAGAGGCCACTCATGCTGTATGGAAATGACAGGAGCAGGGGTTTGCTTCAAACCCAAGCTCCCAAAGCAAAAGCCAGGGAGGACGTTTGCAGTTTTTGTGTGTTTGAGAGAAGAAAAAAAGGAAGAAATGAGCCAACTGGCCTAATGTGAACAAACACATCAATTAGTGTCTGCTGGCTCCGACACAATAAAAATGGCTCCCTTACGTCTTCTCCAGTGGGGCCAGGCCTCTGTGTCTGTGTCTACAAATCTCTGTCAACCAAACATAAATAAAAATCAAAGGCTTCTCCTCCTTACTTGGTGAATTCCTCTTTATAGCAGGGATTCAGGGGTCTTTTAAAACAAACAAAATAAATCAGAACCTAATGGGTAACCTCATTAAAAATCGAACCTAATTTAGTCCATGCCCACAGGAGTTTCAGAATTATATTGCCTCTCATCTTGCACATGAGATGCCCTTGCGGCTGCTCCTCCCCCACAAACCTTCCTGTCCAGAGAGAAGAGCTAGGTGGTCCACCCCATCCCACCCCCAGGACTGGAGCCTCAGCCTGTGGAAAGTCAGGCTGGAGGAAGATTTTTGTGCTGCTCACAAGCCTGCTGTCTGTGGCAGTGATTCATACCTTCCAGCATTGCTTCATCCCTCCTTGGCAGTGAGAACAGAGCAGGGCAGAGGTGCGGCTAAGCAGAATTACGTGAATCCTTGCTTTATATGATTGCTGTATTTTTTTTCCCTCTAGTGACCGGAGAAATATATGAATTCAACTCCAAGACGGGAGCCAGAAAGTGGAAAGATCCACTAACCCAAATGCCAAAATTGACTGAGCCCAGTCCCCAGGGACCTGCAGCTGGCCCACAAAGAATTGTTGCTGGTGAAGGGCCTGGGCCACTAAGGAGAACCCACAAGGAAGGAAATGGATCAAGTGGTCCAGTGCTGGCAGAAGATGGAGGCCGGGTTTCCAGAAGTGAGGGTGGCAAGCTGGGCACCTCAAAGAACAGAAACCCAGCCCTCACAAGCAGGATGTCCTCCAAACCACACGCAGGAAAATAAATGGTATATAGTTGCCAGGCCCACTCTGAAGGGCAGGAGAGGGGCCTGTCAGCCAGGGCCACCTTACCTTAAATTCCATGGGGGCAGGAGTGGGCATGGCACAGGAGAAGTGTGGGCTGAAGGGATTCAGGCCTCCAGGATACCAAATGGGATGTTTGACAAAAGCTTAAAAAATAAAAGGGTGTGATCACATGGTTGCCTTTTCCTGAGATGGCACAGGAAAATTTTTTCTCAGAGTTCAGAACTAACTAAACTGCCTGTGGTTCTGACCAGCCAGGAGCTGGTTAAAATGACCCTCGAAGTGAAATCACTTTCACAAAGTTGAAACAACACCAACCTTCCAAGCACCTGCCCTGCTTCCAGCCACTGGAGGCCCTAGAGGACTCTGAGTGGAGACACATGGGAAGATCTACCCAGCCGTACGCCTCAGACTTTCCCTGTGGGCCTGAGCTCTGAACTGAGAGTAGATGGTACCATGGTGGGATACAAAATGAAACGTTCCAACATAGTCCTTGCAGAATACACAAGCCTCAGTTTACCTTGGTATCCTGTTTCCCAGCTGGTAGGGCCCTATCCCCCAACAACCACAAGAAAGATCATGGCAAGGATCCATCAGAGTAGCATCCCTTTCTGGCTGGGGAGGCTGATGAGAACCCACCAGGCCCACAGCAGCCTGGCGAAGGCAGGCAGAATCCACCCTGCAAACCAAGACTCTGGGCAGCGCAGCTGGGAGGGAGTTTACTGAGTGCCTGAGCCAGTGTGACGTCTCAAAATGAGACATTTGTAAAATGCCCTGGCCTAGACCAGGCATGATTTATTAACAAGGGTGGGTATCCAGGGAACTCCCATGAGTGGATTTAAATTTTGCAAAAGAAGGCTGAACTGTTCCCTCATGGAGATTAGAGTGAGTAAAGTGGCTGATTACCCATTTAAGACTTTGCAAGTCCGTGGGGTCCTGACTGAAATGAATAACTTCCTCAGAAGTGTTAGCTTCTGTGCAAGTAAAATGAGGCTCTGTGAAAGCTGAGGGACCTTCAGAACTGCTTCCAAGTCCATGGCAGATGATTAGGGGAGTGCCTACCTGCGGTCTGTCCTTCTTCATTGATGACTTGGCAAGAGGAGAAAGTGCTGACCGACCAGGAGAGATTTCAGTTAGGCTCAAGAGTGACTTCCCCAAGGCCTGGCTCTGTGTGAAGAGCTCAGAGTCCTCCTGGTGCTAGCTGGAATAGCTAATTGTCCTCCAGGCCCCATGGTGGGCCCAGAGGTACCTGTGGAGGGGAGGGAGTCTTAGAGGAGAAAACACAGGCCCTCCCCACTTTCTTTTGTATATTGGCAATGTGATGACAGAAGTCCAGAAGTCTGGAAGGCTGAGTTTATGTGATTTCTAACATTTACCAGGTTAGAAAAAATAAAAAGTTATCTGAAGGAAATGAAGCCAGCAACCAGGGTAGACCTTGTGTTTTCTTCATTGCTCTCAAAAGGCCTTGGCCACATATGAGTGGGTCATAGTCAGTGTTTACTTTCCCCAGTCTGATTCATGAGAAAGTCAGGGCACACAGGTTCAGAGGTTAGATTGTGTATGGTTTGTCATTGTTGAGAGACTCAAAGCTATGTTGTCAGGTCTGAGGTTCGAGCTTTTCTGTGCTCCTTAGGAAGCAGAATCCACATCTCAGTGGGCCTGGGTTGGGAGCATAAGTGGTTCCCAAACAGAAACTATGAGATGACACTTCTCTTTTTCAGAGCTTTCTTTTACTCTGTAGCTCTATTGTTTGCCTTTTTATTTAGTGTATCTTGTGACAGCTGAGCAAATTAAGTGACAAAATGAGTGAACATTGAAAATGATTGCTATTGCAATGTGGCATTTCTCATTTCAAGATTAGAGTGTGTGGCAATGTCACAGAAACTTAAACTGCTTTCATTGAAAAGAACTGGTTCCTTACTTAGGCCCATGAATTGACTGAAAGCAGGAGAAAAGACTGGCATCCTTGCCTCCTTTTTTGTATCTGTCTTTGTTCTAAGTTATTTAAGTTGAAGTCCACCTTGGAATCCAGGAAGGACAGGACTGATCGATAGCACGTTTACATGGAGGAATGAGGAAGCTACCCCTCCACCCCCAAAAAGGAACAGTACAGCCTCCTCAAGTCAGACCACTGCCAGGCAACAATGACTTCCTTATTTTTATTTTTATTTATTTATTTTTTGCTCCCTTCAAGTGATGACAACAATTGACAACTTCTCCAGAACCCCTCCCAAAACAAAGCCTGAAATGATGATCAACCAGGCCATACCTGACCAGGATTGTGTAATGATTACGTGCACCTTTCACCCCCATCCAATTTCTTGTCTACTTAAACGTAAAGCTCACGTCTGAACCCCGAAGATGGCTGAAAATGAACTGAAGTGCTTACTGTGCCTCTTCCTGTGGCTGTGATGGGTAATAAATCTCCTTTCTCTGCTCTTTGCAATCACTTGTCTTTGTTTGGTGCATTGGAACCTGACATGGGGAGACCCTGGAGTTTGGTCCTGGCACCAAAACTCCAGTTTCTGCCGTACCTCAGTAAACACTTAAGAAGCAACTACTGTGTGCTAGATGTTTTGTTGTTGTTTTGTTTTTTTCAAGGTAGGGTCTTGTTTTATAATCCAGACTGTCCTGGAACTTCGGACCCTCCTTCCTTAGTCTCCCAAGTGCTGGGATTACAGGCCCCAACAACCTACATCCCTGACCATTAGCGCTTCCATTCCATCTCCAATGGCTGAGTGCAGTCCACTGGTGAGCAGTCTCAGTTCTATTTCTTTCTTGGTTCCTTGAGTAAAGTAAATTAACCCAAGCATGGATTCTTCTTTGCAGAGGAACAGGCAACTCACAAGTCTATATATGTAAAAAACTTAATGGACAACCTTTATCAGAAAGTAGTTGAGATGCCCAAGTGGGAGTCCAGCTTTGGGTGACCAAGCCACCATGCTGCCAGTACATCTTCAATTGGCAGTCCTGAGCCAGGTATGACTTCTGTGTAGAAGGTGGATGAATCCTTAGGTCAGTGCGATATCTCATCTGGATCCCAGTGAAAGGGTCAAATGTGGGAGGTGAGGGAGACATCTATCTCCAGACCCTGTTATGTGTCACCTTTACCAGGGACAAGACATACTTCCAGACTCAGAGGATAACTACCTCATTAAAACACAACTAAGAGCTGGGTGGGTGGTGTGTGCCTATTGTCCCAGCTACCAAGGAGGCTGAAAGGAGAGGATTCCTTGAGTCCAGGAGTTCAAGGTCAGGCTGGGTAACATAGTCAGACCTTGTCTCAGGAGACAAAAAAAAAAAAAAAGGTGTTGTAGTGGTGCATGTCTGCAATCCCAGCATGTGAGGGAGGCTGAGGCAAAAGGATCTTGAGATCTTGAGTTCAAGGCCGGCCTGGGCTACATAGTGAGGCCCTGTCTCCAAAAACAAAACCAAACAAAGGCAACCAGCTATCACACAGGCACTTTTGAGAACTAAATGAGTGCTAGAGGAAGTAGATACAGGCCAGAGCAGCCTCTGAAAATATAATGAAGACTTGAAACCTGAAATGGTCTTATAGGTAGAGATAAACCAAAATGAGAGAGAAGTTTTGAGCACAGGCCAAAGCATTCAGCATTTGGTCTTCAATCTGTTTTCAGCCCATAATGCTTATCTTGTGTAACCTGGAGTGTCCTCTAGGCCATGCAGCAAGCACTCAACAAACATTTGTAGGACTGGATTGAATCAAGTAGACTTGTGGTTGGTTTTTTACACGGGTGTAGGAGAGCCACAACTTTTCTAACTAGATCTAGATAGATATCATAATCAACCACTAACAGCTAAGAGTGCCAACTACAGAACTGCACTATTCTAGACTCTGGAAATACAGAAGTAAGTAGAAGAGTGTTCTTTATATTCTAGTGGGGAGCAGAGACTAAATACCCAAATGGATGATGTACAGAAATAGAACTGAAATCCGCAACCTGCAGTACCTGCCCAGGAAACCACTTTGTTCACCTACAATAACCAGCCCAGGTCAGACTTGCAGAGCCAAGTGGCAACTCTAACAGCGTGGGATACCACACAATAACTCTGGAGCAACAGGCCCCAGATGCCAGGCCTTGATTCATGACTGATAGCTTCCCTATTTTTTCCCAACTTAACCAACCAGAGAAAACCAAAGATGCACCCATCCCACAAGGTGCTTCCAGGGTGCCTTCAGGGGCAGCCCAGGGCGTCCCTGAAGTTACCTTCTCTTTTTCCTGCTATAAAGTTTTCTGTCTCCTCTCCCTGCCCATGAGTCACTTTTGATTTTTCTCTTGGAATTGGTCTTTGTTTATTTCTACCGGGATGATAGAGAAACATTGGTGTGTTATAAATAAGTCATATAAAAATAACACATCCACCTGGGTAGAAAAACCAATCACAAGCCCACTTGAGTCAATCCAGTTATATATATGATGGTTAATGGTGGTAAATAACTGTGAGAAAAACAGGCAGGGGTTAGAGAGGGTGGGACAACCCCTTCAAACAGGTGGTCAGGGAAGGCCACCCCTGGGGAGTGAGAATCTAGCAGTGGAAGTGTGGGAAGAGCCTTCCAGGCAGAAAGCACAAGGGCAAGGTTAAGTGGAGGAACAGCAGTGAGTATGAGGACGAGAGGAGGTGACGTCAGCCAGGGTGTGTGGGAGGCGGGACATGTGTAATCCATGCAGTACTGGGGATGTGTGGTTTGCACACAATGTGGACCTTGTGGACCTACTCAGATTTTACTCTGAGCGTGATGGGAGCCATTGCAGGCTTCTGAGCAGAGGATGACAGAACTCATGTTCTGAAAGCATCTCTCTGATTGCTGATGTGACTTGACTTAAAGAAGGCAGGGGCCTGAGTGGAAGGAGAGTGGCCGATGAGGTAGCTATTGGATTAATCTAGATAGGAGATGGTGACTCAGGCCAGGCAGCAGAAGTGGGGATGGATGGAAACTTGCAGCCCCTCTTTGAAGTGA